GTGATGTACATGGCCAGGCCCCGCCCCCTCTTCCCCTTCCCTGTGGCGCTCGGCTGAGTTCTGTGCTGCTCAGCCGGGCTGCCGCAGGGGAGCAAGCAGCCATTTGGGCTCCATGATCCCCGTGCTGTATGGGGAACGTGGAGCCCAAACAGCCGCTTGCGCTGCTTGCCCCTGCACGGGGAGCACAGATCCCAAACAGCTGTTTGGGCTCCGTGGTCCCCCGAGTGAGAGGCAGGAGAAGGAGAAGCGAAAGAGACTGAGAGAGAGGCAGGAGACGGAGGAGAGCTGAGAGAGAGAGGGGGGAGGCAGGAGGAGAGAGAGAGCCCTGAAAAATCCCTTTTTATGATGGGCTATTGGCTAGTAAAAAAATAAAAACCTAATGGATTTATCTAAACTTTACCGTATTTACAGATGGTGTAAGAGTCTTTTCTTGGAAAGAGAGACATGTTGTCTGTCCCCCTCAGTATCTAGAGCAAACTGGCTCAAAGACAAAAAAGGGAAAACCCTTTTGTTCCAGTTTGAAATTCCTATCTGCATTTCTATTGGCTGACTGCTACCTGGCTAGGTACAGTTAACTCCTTAGTCCCCAGGCTACTGGCCATCCCTCATGACTATGACACCAGGTAAGCATTGTGTTACCGGCATGCTTATTGGGGTAACTGGTTTAACCAGCACCTGGCCCAGCCAGAGCAGCCTGCCGCATGGTGCGGTGGACCCTGCCTGCTGGGCCCGTGCAGCCCCTCAACTGCAGTATGATGTGGAAGGCATACTGGCTAAACATATAGTTTAAGTAGTTAATATTTTAAATGGGATTTTACATCCCTAAAAGGGACTGCAGTGATACCTAAAATTGGGACTTCACCATTTAATTCCCTTGTGGATCTGACCCAGAGTTCTTATGTGATGGTAGTCAGTTTACTTAAACTAAGCTTTTCACAGATTGCACTAATTATCCCTGAGTTATACACATTTCTCTGGCATAAGGGGTAGTGTTAAGGCACTTCCACTTATACAGCTATTACTGTTTATTGGGGTTGGTTTAATTATATTGATGGGTGAGCTCTCTCCTATCAACATAGAATAGCTACACCAGAGATTGTACAGCAGTGCAGCTGAATCAGTACATTTGTGACATGTTTAGTCTCTAGTGCAGACAAAAACTGTTGTTCATTTTCTGTGTCCAAAAGTTGATTCCTGCTACTAGATTTGCAGAAATGCAGATCACTCTAAGCTGAAACTGTAGACAAGAGCTGTGCTTTAAAGAAATAAAGTGCTATAAAACGAGCACTAAGTTCTGGTTTTTTTAAAGCCCATATGCCTTCATATTAGGATTCCGAAAATACTGGACACATTTGACCTTAATCTTTCTGTGACTCAATTCCCCATCCGTAAAATGGGAATTATAATAAAATTCCACTTTCATGGGACTGCTGTGAAGATAAATTCATTAATATCTAGGAAGCACATCTGAAGAAGTGGACTGTGCCCCTGAAAGCTCATGATACTATTTATATATTTTTGTTAGTCTCTAAGGTGCTACAGGACCATTGTTGTTTTTTGTTTTGGTTTTTTTCAGATTATGTAGTTATTTGCAGCATAGAAAAATCCATTTGGAAATTAATAAATCTGTCTTCAGAACAGGTTTAAAATAATATGCAATAATATGGCTCACCGCCACACTTTCCACAGAAAGAATAATCAAAATATTGAATAACTTGTCATTAAGTAAGCACCATCCATCCTGTGATCTGAAGAAGAGAGGGGGTCCTAAAAAAAAAAAAGTGGTGTGTAATCATGTCATTAAAGACCACAACACAATTCATATATAGCAGGGGGACAACAAAGAGTCTTAATTCTGGTACTACTTAACTTTCTTGACTGGCTAGCTTTCTTCGGTGTCTACTCTCTGCCTCTCTTGCTATCTTACTGTTATTTAAGTCCCCTCTGCCTTTCGGGGTAAGGAGTTGCTACTAGGTGGGTAGAGAAAGAGGAAGAGGCCAAAAAATGATTGAGACTTTTATATAGCATTGGTGAATCTGTTTGTGAAAGGTGCAGATTAACAACCCAAGAAACTGAAATTCTCAATTTATCTACAAAATAGATACAATGTGGACAGCTAAGATTCCCCAAGTTTCTCTACTGAGGAACAGCTTTTCTGTGCTGTTGAGAAGGTTGAAACAGGAGACTGAGTTCTTCTACCTGTTATTCTAGCTGATATAATTTTAGATGCTGCTCTTATCCATATAAATGTTTGATCACTATTCGGTCTTATTAAGGTATGTATTTCCATGTTCGGGGGAGTGAGTTCCACACTCATACATTTTATCCGATTTTAAATTTACTTTCATCTAACGAACAGCACCCAATTTACTTGCTCTGCCCAAGGTCTCTGGCAGTGTCTGGAACTGAACTCAGATATCTTGAATCTACCAGAGATTTCCTTCACAAATCTTGGGCAAGTCATGTAATCTTTCTTTGCCCTGTTTTGCTATATAAGAATCTAGTCAGACAAAATAATATTTATATTATGAGGTTCCATGTACTGGGAATTTTTTCTCTTAAAACTTGCTTTTGATCAACTTTTTATAACTTATAAGATAAGATAAATATCTTCTTATAAGATAAATTTTATGAAACTTTGGTTAATATGTACATAGGAAAATAATGTGTATGCCTATTAATCGAGAAGTAATATTTAAAATGATGGGCTCGTATTAAGTAGCACTTGTAAGTCAGAATAAGAGTGGATGAGGGAGGTACTGTGAAGAGGAAGTACCAGCTGTCAGGAAAACTGTTCTAACAGGCCACTTAAATCTAAATGTTCTTTTGTCTTTCTTCTATTCCCCTCTTTTGTCAGTGCATAAAATGCCTGCCTCTATACTTTCATTTTCTTCTCCTGCATTGCTCCTTTCCCCACTTACACTGATAGCATTTGCTTTTCCCATTCTGTGGGAGAATCAGAGCCCACCAGTCTGGTTCTGTCTTATTTGTATAGTTTCATTCATGCCTGAATACATAACCAAAGGAGGGGGGGGAGAGAGGGAGATTATCTTTACAAGAAAGATAATACCAATCAGTGTACTAATGAGATTTTGCCTACATTTTTCCTGGCAGAAGTGCAGCACTTTAAACAAATTATTCTTGATTAGTTATGTCACACTTACAGGATAACTGCATCTGTGTTTCCCTGCAGTATGAACTTACATTTCTGGCCCCGGCTGTACACTCTT